TTGGGTGGGCCCACCCCCCCTACAGAAAAAAAAAAAAAAAAAAAAAAATTCTTCAAAAAAAAAACAAAAACAGAAGGTGAGTGGAGAGAAGACAGAAAGGATGAAGTTCTGGGGGGTATGTTGCATATCAACTGAGGAGAGCATATTTCAAGAAGGGTGTATTTCACTGCCTTGCAGGCTGCAAAGAGACCCAGTTAGAAAATGTTCAAAGAGAGTTCTTTAGACTTGGCCTTTGGGAAGTTATTAGTGATTTTTGAGAAAGCAAACTGATAGATAAGAACTTAAGGAGAGAGGAGTGGCTAGAGGGTAATAAATTAAGAGAGTTTTTGGGTAGTATTTGTTGTTGGAATTTCAGAAAGCTTTGGCTACAAAGGAGCCAATGAAGAGTGAAAATCTTGAAATCAGAAGAGCATGGTGATTGTAGGTGGCAGAAAGCACAGAATCAGAAATGCTCTCCCCATGTGAATATTTAAACATGGGCTCATTTGTACATAAGGTAAATGTACAGACCATTGTCTCATTGTAACTGCTTCTAATGTTGAACCGAGACAGGTGGTTATTCAAGATGGCTAGGTGACAAAGGAGAAAATTTTACTTTCATATTAGTTATATATGCCTTTTAAGAAAAGGATTATTTTTACCAATTTCCAGGTAAAATGTGATAGTTGTGGATGTCACTTGATAACTAGCACAGTAAGGAGTAGTGGATGGTACCTCTGCTGGGGCTCGGCCAGTGAGCCTCACTACTGGGTCTCTGAGCTGCTGTAAGATTTCATTACAGTGTAAATCCAGGAGGTTTTCAGAGCTCCTTGGTCTCTGTGCTCTAAAACAATTGCTCTTCAGTAGCACTTGACATATATTTTGAAGAAAATATTATGTCCATAAATGCCACAATACTTTAAAATAGTTATAATGAAGTATAACATATGAAATAATTTTGATTAAGTGGCTCTTATATTAAACACAAACACCTAATATTAAGTTGATTTTTTTACCATTTCTTTCCCTCTGTCAGGCAGAACCAAATGTTACCACGTCTGGTGCAGCTGTAGACCTCAGTTCGTTTAAAAACGTGCAACATCTGGAGCTTCCCAAGGTAAGTCTGCTTTGAATTGGGATGAAATTATGTGAGCACCTTCTTACCAGTGTTCCAATCCACTGGTTCTCAAAAGGATGGTCTCCATCCCAGCAGCATCAGCATCACCTGGGACCTTGTTAAAAATGCAGACTCAGGCCCACTCAGATCTACCTGCTGAATGAGAAACTCTAGGGGTGGGTCCAGAAGTTTGTGTTTAATAGTCTTCCTAATGATTCTAATGCTCATTAGTTTGAGAACTACTGTGCTAATTGATACTTAATAGGGCCCAGCTTTTCTCTTCCTATATTATTCTTCCAAGGTATTAAATTTAGCCCTTTTTGATTCTTTTACCAAGGTGCTGCTGTCAGGGAAATAAAAAAATATAAAAAATTAAAAAATAGTATTACTGTCTTTGACCTTACAACTGAAAGCTCAACTAGGTAGAAGTTAAGGTGTACTGACCAGAAACCTATAAATGTTTTTGGTTGCTCTGCTGGGAAGCAGGTGGCTAGTGGATGAATGAGAATATAAGCAGAAAGCAGCTAGGTGCTCAGGCAGAAGAGGAAAGAAGGAGGTGGGATGAGAGGATGAAAGGCCATTTGCAGGAAACACTGCAGAGAGAAGGAAGTGGGAGGTTGGTCCACGTACTGCTCTCCACCCAGGAGGCAATGCAGCGTGGTGCTGAGTCCATGCTCTGGAGTCCTCCTGTTTGGGTTGAATCCTCGCTTCATCAGGTAGATGCTGGCACATTATGTGATCTCTGTCTGCTTCAGTTTCTTCTGTATTGAAGATGATAGTAACAGCTTTGTGTTAAGCAATTGTAAAGATTAAATGATTAATCTTAATGTGCACAATTAAATTTCTTATAAAATAATCAGCATAATTCCTGGCATAAGATCTGACTCATTTGAATAGTCAGGAGAAAAAAAAATTACCGTAACTGTTTATTTGGTTTATTTTCTTTCTTTCTTTTTTTTTTTTGAGAGGATTTTGCTATAGGGCACATGCGCTCACCAGAAAGACATAGAGACAAAGAGACAGAAAGTGAGAAATAACCCCCTGGGGGGATGATCATGCCACAATCCCTTCTCTCCATTATCCTCTCAGGATCTCAGGCACGCACGTATATGCGCCCGGTGTCAGTTTAAGCCACCAGGTCTGGGACTCGAACCGTGGTTGGCTGCTACATGGGAGTCCAGCGACATAGCCATTACTCCAACTGCTAGTCCCTATTTGGTTTATTTTCTACAATAGATAACCCTATACCAAGTGGATTGTTCTTATCTTGTAGTGTAAGGTAAGTCTTTATTATAGACCATTTCTATTACAGACAGAAAGAAAAGAATAGACGTCATTTAAGACTTTTACCTTTTCTCTCAATAAGTTCATATACCTAAATTTGAGAATCTCTCATATAATTGCCATTTAAGAAAGAAAATATCTTCCTCTTTTTTTTCCTTTTAGGGCTTTGTTTTGTTTCCCTTCCGTCCTAAATCCTATAGTCAGAGTTTATAATATTTGTTAGCACAATCATTTCTCTATAATTTATCATGAAATATTTAGATATATCTTGAAATCTTCATAATGAATCTTTTTCAATCTAAGTTTATGCTTATTTTTAAAAAAGCTCAAATTAGATCACTTTTAACATATATTCTTTCAGGGCATTGATTCTCATTTATTTACCTAAGACTTTTTACCTCCTACGATATAATGAGTGCCCAGAAAATCTGAGTGAAATGAACATGTTAGGTAAATAAGGAGCAACATTCTGAGTGACTGAGAGCACATACATGAAGCCAGACCACTTGAGTGAGAGCTCAGTATTTGCCACTTACAAGTTGTGAGACTATAACCTTGGGCACATTTATTAATCTGTACAGAGTTTCCACTCTTGCAAATGGAGAAGCTAATGGTACTTACCTCCTAGAGTTGTGGTGGGAATTCAATATTTATTGTGAGAATTGACTACAATAAGTATAGCATCCTGTGCCTGGCACTCAAAAAGGACGACCTGTTATTATAATTATTAGGAAAGAACATGCTGGAAAAGAGATACCTGACTGCTTCTTGTCACTAGTTTTCTCCGTGCTTGCTCTTTCTACATTAGACTACTTGATTAAGGTGTTCAATAGATGGTCACATCATTTCTTTTTCTTTTTTCAGACTTTTTTGCCTTTGTGTGTGTGTGCTCACTGGCAAGAAATAGATGGGTATATTGAGAGGGGATGAGAGAACTCACCCCTGCCCCTTGTGAGGCAATGGTCACACTGCAATCCTTTCTCTTCTATTCTCTTCCCAGGATCTTGGGCATGTACACACAAGTGCCTGGTGTAATTTTCAAGCCGCCAGGTCTAGCACTTGAACCGAGGTTGATCATGTGAGAGTCCAGAGGCATAACTGTTCCACCATCTGCTGGCCCTGATGTTCACATCATTTTAACACGTTACTCGGAACCTTTCAAGGACTTTCATTGCCAAACGCATCTATTTAGATTTTTTGGCATGTCATGTAGCAGTGGGTTTGGACAGAAGCCCTTCTCACATCCTCAGGGATTTAGGATAAATCAGTTAATCCCATTGGTCCTTATTTTTTTCTTCTATAAATGGAGTGCCCATAGCAAATGCTCATTGCTGGGTGTGGATGAGCTAAAGAGCAAGGTTTCTTCATCCTACATTAGGAAAGCCTGTCTCTGCTGTTAGCCTCCTGATGTCCGTTATGTGCACTGCTCTTTCTTAATGTGTTGCTGTGAAGAATCTAAGACCTTGGGGAATCTCAATGAATTACTCACAGAAAGCTTTCATTTATTCAAGATTTAAAAATCAGTTAAACTAAAGAAACAACTAACATCTAACTATGGTTTTAAATATTTTAAATGCCAGCATTGGAGTCCCAACTTCACTACAATGGGCAAGCCATTTAGGTTCTCAGAGCCTCACTTTGCTCATCCATATGATAGAGAAGATAATACCTTCATATTAGAGATACTATTAGGTTGTCAGAAAGTCATGATGCATTTTTGCATAGAAAAACAGAAAAATATGTCATGACTTTTCTGACAACTCAATATTATAAGATACCAAAGAAATAATTTATATAAAACAACAACAGTGCAAGTTATAATTGTTTTCATTACTATTTTTAACAATGAGATTCTGAGTGCTGCAAAGAATTAGTCCTTGAAAACATTCCTTGAGGAGGCCCTTACTAAAAATGACACTTTACACCAAGCATGTGCACTCTTAACAAGATCTGACAGCTGCAGGAATAGAACTGAATTAGGCAAAAAAGGGAGAATAAACCAGCCTTTTAACACTCATGGCTTATCTGAAATCCTTTGTCATTTATACTATTCTGTATTTTTAAAAATTATGACTATTTGAAAACAAAATGTACTATTCCATATTTTTAAATTATGATTATTTGAAAACATAATGATAATGTCACATTTGTTCATTATATCACTTACTTCTCAGCAAACCTATGAGATTGATATTTTCACCCTACTTTTTTTTTTTTTTAATGCTATAGGGTACATGCCCTCATGGGAGAGAGACAGAGGCAAAGTGAAAAATCACCCTCCAAGTGGAATAGCCATACTGCAATCCCTTCTCTTCCATTCTCCTGGGATTTTGGAAAAGCATACATACATACATATGTGCCCAGTGTGATTTTCAAGCCCCGAATCTGGGCCTTGATCCCAGTTGGTTATGTGGCAGTCTAGCACCATAACCACCACATCACCTGCCGGCACCTTCTGCCCACTTTTAACTGTGTCTAGAACTACAAATGGTGGCACTAAAACCAAGTAATCTTCTATCTCCAAGTCTCATTTGCTTCACCTTACAACTGGGCCCTGTCTACATTTCTGAAACCTCTGTACATTTCTTATAATAATTTTCTACTAAAGTTAAACTGATTTGAATCAAAAGAGATAAAAATATTTGAGAATTCATTCTCTGACAGAAATAAAGCAGAAAGTTGAGCAGTTAGCTAAGATGTTGTACATTCATACCCCATTACCCTTCGTGTCATCCTGATTGGATGACCTGATAAGGTTTTATGATATGAATAAATGGTCTGTAGATGTATATATACTTATTTATTTTTGTAGTGTTATAATGTCGGGTATTTTATATATGAAGATATATAGTGGGTCTTTGGAAAAGTCTTGATGCATTTTTACATAGAAAAACAAAAAACACATCATGACTTTTCCAAAAACCCAATAGCTTATTGTTCCTTTTAGGACTGCTTCTGTAAAAAATAACAAAAACAAAACAAAACAAAACAAAACAAAAAAAGCTGGCTCCATTAGGTTTAATCAAAGAAGAGGATTTATGGACTCAGGTCACTGGTCAGCAATCTTAAAGGGCAGCAGATCCTTTGACTCAGTAGCATGACTGAGAACTAGTTTTTTCCTTCTCTCTGCACAACCATCCATAGTATCTGCTTAATCCCTAGGTTAGTCATTTTCATAGATGGCTGCCAGTCACAGTTGGGGCCATATGCTCTTCCTTTACACATAGTTGGTAGGGGGAGAAGGGGGAGCTGATCATGCATTTTAAGCAAAAAGTCTCAAGAGTTATCTTAATTCGACCAGTTCAGATCCCAATCCTACATTTCAGCTTGGGTCTAAGGGAGAAAATGGGGGCAGTGAGAAGGAAAATGAAAACTCACCCTCTAGGAAGAATGGCCATGCATGGTACATGCACCCAGTGTGAGATTCCAGCCAATGGTTTTGGAACTCAAACCTCAGTCGGCCATGTGGCAGTCCAGCGCCTTAACCGCTATGCCGCCTACTGGCCCCAAGGAAATTTAAAGTTTTTAGATAAGAAAATTGGGATTCAGAGATGTTGAGTGGCATATCCAAAGTTTTACAGCTTCCACATGTGATTGATTGCCTAGAAAATGAGAGGTGGTAAAAAGGAAGGGACAGTGACAGTTTTGAGACTCATCAGGGATTCATAATCCACCTCAGAAAAGCCAGGGTGTTGATGATCTTTTTGATATCATAGCCATGACCATGAGTGTCTCTGATGATAAGGTTGGCTCTGGTGTGTGTGTGTGTGTGTGTGTGTGTGTGTATGTATGTGTGTGTGTGTGTGAGAGAGAGAGAGAGAGAGAGGGAGAGAGAGAAACCATGACAAGATTCTCTTTCCCCTATTTTGCTTTTTGTGATTTGTCCCAGGATAAAAATTGTAATGAAAGATGGTGGTAGCTATGGTCAGAATGAAAATGTGTGCAAAATTATACTTTAATTTGATTAAAGTATGCATTAAAGAAAGATAAAAGCCGATATTACTGAGCATTTGGTTTTGATAAAAGAAAATGTGGAAAATACAGAAGAGGTAGGTGTAGCTCTCTAGCCTTGGCTTGTCTTTGGACTCAGAGGCATTTTCATTCTGCAGCAAATCAAAATGCTATTCTCTGGAGAAATAACTCTGGGTATTCAGCCTCAGAAAGGAAAGAGCGTGCAGCAGTAATTGCAGTCTGTCTGCTAAAGAAAGAAGGATGGCAGAAAAGGATGAAGGGGCCAGACTTGGTTGTTATTTTTAAGTTACAGGACAGACAGAGAGGAGGCAGAGGGAGGCTACTTTTGTTGGTTTTGAATGATTTATTCAACCAGCCAGTTACAGAAGACCAAATGTGCAAATGTTGAATGTTTTGATGATTCTGTTGAATGCATTTTTGCTACCTGTATATTTTGCTAAGTTACTAAAATGTCAGACATCTGGGAGGAGTAAAAACTCTTAAATATTTGATAGATGAGAATTTATTCTTACCGAAAATTTTGAAAATTTGCTTAAGTAAAGAAGATGTCTCTTTTTTAAGAATTATTTCATTTAACTTTATTTTATTTATTTTAATTTGACCAGAGAAAGAGAGAGAGAAAATGAGAAAGCAAGCCACCAGGTCCAGGACTTGAACCATGGTCGGCCATGTGGGAGCCCAGTGCTCATATCCACCATGCCACCTGCCAGTTCTAATTTTTTAAAGAATTATTTTATTTAACTTTATTTATTTTAATTTGACCAAAAAGGGACAGAGTGTGTGTATGTGAGAGAGAGGGAAAGTGAGAAAGCAAGAAGAAAAGATATTTCTCAGAGTCGACTTTAGAATAGTTTTAGTTGCTTTTCTAGTCCTTGGGTAGAAGATGATGTTCAAAAGATTATGGCTTCATCTCTTCCCATTTGAATAAAATTAATCTGTTTCAAGTCTTCTGAGGGTTTTTGTTTTTTCCTTCTTAGGATCAAGGGGGTTTGGGCATTGCTATCAGTGAAGAAGATACACTTAGTGGAGTCATCATAAAGAGTCTAACTGAGCACGGGGTAGCAGCTAAGGTGAGTTCTACCTTACTCAGTGTCATACAGCAGCCAGTGAGGGAACTGCACCTGGAAAATCACTCAAAATCTTCTCTGTTTCCATTTAGGATGGACGACTCAAAGTTGGAGATCAGATATTGGCCATAGATGATGAAGTTGTTGTTGGTTATCCTGTCGAAAAGGTACTTTTCCATGTAAAGCAAATGGTAGTGAAATCCGAGGCTTTGGTCATGACTTAAGTGCATGTGTGAGTTGGGGGTGATGAGTGGGATGGCAGGGAATTAGTGTCGTGTAGCTCTTTGAGACATAGTCTTAAGGGAAAGATTACTCAGAAGTTCTTCAATTTCCATTTCTATTTTCCAAGGTATATTCAATGTTCACTAGACATTTTTGATAAGCATTGTTTTATTTTCCCTTAGGAAAGCTTAAAATCCCTAAACAATGACTAACTTACTGTTAGGTAGGACCAAAGGAATTTTTTTTAATGTGTTTGCTACCATAAATAGCCACTATTGATTTATAATTAGATTTTGACACTCAACCATTAAATTTATAACTTTCTTTGGACTTATATTTGTACCTGAGTTTCTTCTTCCTCAAAAGGAATTATAATGCCGAGTCTCAATTGAAGCATTACATATATTGACCTTGAGATGTCAAATTCTTCTCCCTTATAGTGAGAGGGAACCACGGAACCATGTTACTGACTACTGACTATGTTTCCATGGTTTCTGTTTCTATGCTGGCTAACAAGAAGCCATTTTTTAAAATTATTTAAGTTGAATCTTTTTTTTTTTTGAGTTTTTGCCATAGAGCATGTGTGCTCACTAAACAGACTGAGAAAGACAGTGAGAGGGGAAGTAAGAAATTACCCTCTGGGGGGGATGACCGCCCTGCTGTTCCTTCTTCTTCCTTTCTTCTCCTGAGATTTTGGGCAAGCAGCCACATACACCCAATGTGAGTTTCAAGTCACTTGGTCTGGGACTCGAACTGTGATAAGCCACATGGGAGTCCAGTGTCTTAACCACCACACCACCTGCTGCTGGCCCCCAAGTTAGATCCTTTCACCTACATATTTATGTTTTACGTTTCCATTTGCCTTAATTTTGTTGCATAGTCTTTCTTTTAACATATGTCTTTGTATTTTATTAAAAATTTTTATGTAAATTGTTTCAGATTCTCTGTAGAATCAAGTGAGTGAAGTACCATATTTATTCTAAGGTTGTAGAGATTCAGAAAAAGGGACAACATGAATTAGAAATGTAAAATGTCAATAACCTCTACTTACCTATGGGAAGAATCTGGTCAGAACCAGAGTCATAGAAATTAACATGATCTCAGTCAGGCATTTGAGGAAACTAAAGAGAAACTAGAACCATTTCTTTCCTGCCCCTTCAAGTCCTGACAAGGAAAGAATTTGTCTCATCTCTTCTCTCAACCATGGATAGAACTATATTCCAGCAATCATGTGATGTATGTATTTGTATAAGTCCGCTGATTTGCCTTTGACTTTTGTTTTCCCTCCACACCAATACTCTGCCAGTTTATTAGCCTTCTGAAGACAGCAAAGACGACAGTGAAGCTTACCATTCGTGCTGAGAATCCAGATTCCCAGGCTGTCCCTTCAGCAGCTGGTGCAGTGAATGGAGAAAAAAAGAGCAGTTCCCAGTCTGCAGTTTTCCCACAGTCTAGCTCCCCAGAACCGGAGTCTATTCGAAGTAAGGACTGGACGGGGAGAGTTCTGCACAGATGGCACATCCAGGCTGAGCAGAGGACCCCTGCTAAGCGGCAGGCTGCTTGCCCGTGACTCACTGTTTAAAGGACTGTGTCAGCCATTTGGGGAGAGGATGGTACAGAGAGGGGGGATTCCTGAAGAAAGAGTATGGACTGTAAGGCAGGTGATCTGTGTACTGGACATTAACCACCATAGGGCCTTAAGAAACCCATGCCACCCACTCAAAGCCTCAGTTTCTTTATCTTTGAAAGAAAGAAATGATATTCTTTACTTCCCAGAAATCTTTTTTTTTTTTTTAAGAGAGGTTTTTGCTATAGGGCACATGAGTTCGCTAAAGAGACAGAGAGAGACAGAGATACAGAAAACAAGAAATCACCCCACAGGGAAGATGGTCACACCGCAATTCCTTCTTTTCCATTCTCCCTCAGGATCTTGGGTACACATGCACACATGCCTGGTGTGAGTTTTAAGCCACTGGGTGCAGGGCTCAAACCATGGTTGACTATGTGGGAGTCCAGCAATGTAACCCATGCCATAGGCTGGTCCCGCCCCAGCAATCTTTTAACGACGATGTCTGATTTTATGGATCAAACTGATGCATTAGAAGTATCATTTTGTACCTTTTATGTTTTAAATACTGGGAAGGTTATTTAACTTTTCCAAACCTTGGTTTTCTTATTGTATAATGAATATACATTGATCCCATGTCACAACAGAATCAACACTGCTTGTGCCTTAAAGAAACTCTTAGAAAGGCGAGGCATTACCACAGAGTGCAGCACAGATCTGTGTTTGGTGGCTTGAATGTCACAGTACCTCTTGTCTAAGTAGATGAAATGGAAGTATGTGGACCGTGGCTGACAATTCAGTGCATCATTAAACTACCAGTCTAGTATGTGGAGGCAAATCATTCTTTTGAGTTATTTGGGGGTAAAAATTAGACTGGTACATAATATAATAAAACAATAAATTTTCAAGCTCTGTGGCATCCAAAAAATAAAAATGACTTAAACATGTTGGCTTTTTCTGCAACTGGGGTGAAATTCTCTTTTGGCTTCCAAACTGAAGCATTCAGTTCTTTTGACAGGTTTTTAAGGAAGCACTAGTTTAAAACATTTATGATACAGTTGGACAAAAAAGTCTGGAAGTAATACATCTCTGATGAAAGGAATCCTTTATTTAGAAAAACTGGATAATTCACTGAAGTGTTAAAAAGATTTTATGGAAATTTTCTCATTTTTCCATTTTATGTTGATCCCTAAATAGCATTGTCTATAAAAATATGAAATGCTAAATGAAAACTTAACATAAAAGAAAATATCTTACACCTGTTCCTACCATTTCAGGAGCAAGAAAATAGTCTGTTTCAGATTTCCTAAAAAGAGAACATCTTGTCTAAAGCATACGCTACTCTACCCCGTGTCCTAGCTTTCCCAAAACATGCTATTTGCTGTGTGCTCTTTGTTGTATCATAAAACATATGATATGATAAGATATGAAGACTATCATAAAACAAGGTGTGAAATTACTTTCTCCTTTTTTTTTCTTACAATCTATTATTATCTAGTCAATTCTGAGCATATGCACCAGGATTTAATATCTGTATTTATGAAATATCAACTGAGACCAAAAGAGAAAAACTGTCATGGTGCACGTATGCTTAGCATTACTCACGTAAGAAGAATAAAAAGAAAAGGATAAAAAGAAAAGGAAAACAAAACGTGAAAACACCCAAAAGAAGGCGCCATGACCAAAATTATTGATGTATTGGTGTCTTGTGGTCTACCCTGAATGTGCTTCTAGGTCTCTTTCACATATTTCAGCTTTGAGTTTTACAGGATTTATTTCACGCGGAGTGTAATTTCACTCCAGTGAAATGTAGAGACGATCAAAGTAAAATGAGAGGTTCCGTCCAATTCTCCGTTCTTTTTCCTTTATACCGTATTCTTTCTATCTCAAGTAATTAAAAGCGTACAGAATAGTGGAGACAATAATTGAATGGGTAATTTCTTTTATTTTCCCTGCCTACCATCCTAAATTAACGATGATGATTTAAGCATATTTATTTAATATTTTAGATATTAGATAATAAAAAGACTAAGGTTCATTTGAAATCTCTCTTTTTCTAGTCTTGGGCACATTTTCTTGCTTTGTCCCTTAAAGACAACAAGTGTGTTAAGTTAGAAGCATATGCCTTCTAATAGGTTTTTAATCACAGTTTTACTTTTAACTTATGTTCAGATACCAGCAGGTCATCAACGCCAGCCATCTTTGCTTCTGATCCTGCAACCTGCCCCGTCATCCCTGGCTGTGAGACAACAATTGAGATTTCCAAAGGGCGAACTGGGCTGGGCCTGAGCATTGTTGGGGGGTCCGACACCCTGCTGGTGAGTTACCACCCGGGGGGTGCAGCTATGTAGGCAGCCCTTCAACTGGTACTGACAGTCTTATGGAGAGATTGCTATCAATTTTATTAAATAAAATATAAGGTTGAGAAAATGTATCATTCATTGTTATTTTAATATAAAGAGCAAATATTTAATTGGGTACTAGGATTTTCACTTCGAATAACCCAATACTGACTCAGTGAGATCTTGTTATTCTTCTGATGGTGACCCTTAGGTTTCAAAATGTTTCTTCTAGTTCACTAGATCTCACAATATTTAATTTCCTTTTTACTGATATCTGAGGTTAAGTTAGGCCCATATTGAGAGGAGTCTGAAAAATTGTATACTTTGTAGACATAATCTTCTCAGTGTCAAAAAATACTTTAAAAATAATCTCATTTGTGGGTAGGAAAGGTAATGTTTCTTTGTTTAATATTTGAGTACGTATCTATATGCATACTATGTATATAGTGCAATTTATCTTTAAACTTCCCATAGGCAGGGGGGAACAAAAACAAAAACAAACAGGTGTAGGTTTCTTTAAGACTTTAAGACTTTTAGCAAAAACTGTTGTTATACTTTCACTGAATTATGGTTCGTGACATGAACTCTGAGTATAAAACCCTTTTTGCTATCTATATAAGTATGGTGTGTTTGGATTCAGTTTCTGTTTACTTTCCCAGGGAGAATGGAATAAAGCATGGGGTTTTGTTTTGTTTTGCTTTGTTTGGACCCTTAGGGTGCCATTATTATCCATGAAGTCTATGAGGAAGGAGCAGCATGTAAAGATGGAAGACTCTGGGCTGGGGATCAGATTTTAGAGGTACAGAATACTTGTTTTTGATGTTCAAAATTAATAGAGAAAAGTCTGTGCTTGGGACAGGGGTCTCCTTTCTTTGCTTCCTTCTCTCATGTCCTTTCCTCCATGGCCGCCACCCTTTCCGTAGCTCACCTGGTTCCTCTCATTTCTCTACAGGTGAATGGAATTGACTTGAGAAAGGCCACACATGATGAGGCAATCAATGTCCTAAGACAGACGCCACAGCGCGTGCGCCTGACGCTCTACAGGGATGAGACCCCTTATAAAGAGGAGGATGTGTGTGACACCCTCACTGTTGAGCTGCAGAAGAAGCCAGGAAAAGGCCTGGGATTAAGTATTGTTGGCAAAAGGTGGGTATGAAGAGGACAAACCCAATGACCTTTTGGAAATGCATGGACTTAAATTATTTTAAAGAATAATAGCAGCAATAGAATTTTAGGTATTGTGTTAGCACACACACCGTGGGACCATGAAAAGACGTTGGTTTTGAACTTTTTAAGTAGATATATTGAGAGATTTTGAAGGTACTCAACAAAAGCCATTTGATAAATTGTGAAGTATCTGCTGTGTGCCAGGAAATGCAATAGGTTCTGGGAAACAAATTTAAGACATGGTTCCTGATTTCGAAAACCTCACAGTCTAGTGAACAAAAATTAAATGCATTCTTTTCAAAAGAAAATCTATTAGTGAGTGACCGAGATGAACTCTAGGAGAGCCATGGAAGCAAAAGAGAAAAAAGGATACTTTGTAGACATCATCTTCTCAGTGTCAAAAAATACTTTTAAAATACTTCAAAAATCTTTTTTTTTCTCCAGGTTTTTGTCTTAGGGTGGATACACTCATTGGGATAAACAGAGAGAGACAGTGAGAAGGAAGGTTAGAAATTGCCTCCCAAGGGGGCTGTCCGTCCTGCAATCCTTTTTCATCCATTCTCCTCCTGGAATTTTGGGCATGCATGCACAGGCACCTAGGATGATTTTCAAGCCACCAGGCCCAAGACTCAAACTGTGGTTGCCCATGTGAAAGTCCAGCACCTTAACCACCATGCCACCTGCTGACCTCTCAAGTGACTATTTAAAGGAAGTGGATTAGGGAACATGTCCAAGAAAAAAACGAATCGGAGCTGAGGTTAAGTGGGATAAATAAGAGTTGGTCTATTTAAAGGAAGGAAAGGATATTTTAGGATCAGCATGAATAGGAGCATGCCATCCACAGAGACTGAAAGCCTAATGCAAGGAGCCTAGGTTGTAGCAGGGTAGTGAATGTACACAAAATCAGCACCAGGCCAGCCATTGGTGCGGTGGCTAAAGCAGCTAGATCCTACATGTCCAACGGCATGAAAAACATGCCAGGCACATGTGCATGCATGCCCCAAGTCCTGAAAGGATACATGAAGATGAAGCAATTGCAGGGTGACTATCCCTCATAGGGAATGCTTTCTCCCTTTCCTTCTTTCTCTCTGCCTCTCTCTCCAGAAAGTGCACATGACCTCTAGCAAATAAAAAGAAAAGTACCAAAAATTTGATTCCTAATTTGTTTAAACATTTAAATTGTAAATACATTTAAAATATTTACATATAAGTGATATTAGCACATTTATATGTAAGTAATATTAACAAATATATAATCCAGTAAGTTCCTCAAATCTTTCTTCCTTTAATCAACCATATTAGAAACCTATCTGGAGCTGATCCTTGGAATATATCACACAATTAAACAGATGAAGTTACGTTCAGCAAAAAGCAGCTCCAAGCCCAGCTGCAGGGGCACACACAGGCTTAGGGGTCTTCTGGGCAGTGCTGGGAGCCCTGGGGAGAGCTCTAGGCTTATACCCTGGTCTTCCTGAACACACACCCTGAGCTGTGTTTGTGATCCTGGCTGTCTACAAGGGCTGAGAGGGGGACTGCAAGCTGTCGTGGGTGCTTCCCCTTACTTTGTTTTCTTCTGTGAGTTTTTTTTTTTTTTGCTATAGGGCACATGTGCTTACCAGAGAGACAGAGAGACAGAAAACAAGAAATCAACCCCCAGGGAGATGGCCAAACCTCAGTCCATTCTCCTCCAGTCTCCTCTCAGAATTATGAATATGCACACACATGCTCCCAGCCTGAGTTTCAAGCTGCTGGGTCCGGGACTTGAACCACAGTCAGCTATGTGGGAGTTCAATGATGTAACCATTATGCTATCTGCTGATCTTGGTGCCTCCCTTTTCATATGAAGAAAATAAATGGATGAACTTAAAAAAAAAAAAAAAAAAAGGCTGTCATCCACAGTGACCCTAAATTAGTATCACCATTCTTCAGCCTTCATATAGTCACAAAGTCAAAGCAGCTTATTTTTTTCAGTAAGTTAAAAATCTACAAAATCGTGACCTTCTGAAGTTAGGCACTTTTCAGAAATACTCATATCAGCTTCATGCTCACCCGATTCTGCAGTGATGTTTCTGTATGGAAATAAAAGGACAGATACACCAGTTTGTTTTTTCAGAGATGACTAAAGCCTAATTTTTAAAAACACACAGAAAGAATGTAGCACAGTATTTGAATCATAGTGGGAATATGTCTATGTCTGAAAAATTAGGTATTCATTTTGGAATATTGTATCAGTAGTCTAGTTCTTGTGAAATACGATATATTTAAAATTTATTTTACCACAATGTGTGACATCACCAGGCCACTATAAAAACTTACGTTAATGAATTCTAAACTGTTAATATTTGCCTTGGGAAGATCCTATGAAGACTATCCAGTTCAGCGCTCGTATTCAAAAGATAGAAAAACAGAATATCGGTTGGAGAAATGACTTGTCTGATGTCATGGGTCATGGCCTTGGCAAGAACAAGTGACCATTCAGCATTCACTGTAGATTTGTACCTACAGTTATCTTTGTATCTTAACAAGACATTAGGGTTTTTTTGTTATTGTGTTTTGGTTTGACTTTTTTTTTTTTTTACATGTTGTCAAGGAAAGGATTGGAATAAGATAAATGTTTGTTTTCCATAAAACTATCTTGTGTGAAAGTTAGATCTGTAATGCTCTAAAAAAAAAAAAAAAAAAAAAAAAAAAAAAAAACAGCAATGGTACTTGAGTTTTGATTAACAAGTGGTTTTAGTTTAAGAGATACATCTGTTACTTATTTTCAATGGTGCTGATGTTGATGACACTGTAAGCATATTTTCATAGCCACAGATCAGTATCCATTCAAAGCTTCAGTGTGGTGTGGCAAGAACAATAGACTTAGCACCCAATGACTGACTCTTCAGTTTCATTATTGCCATTTATCAGTTGCACGAGCCTTAAAGTAAGAGTAGTAGTATCAGGACCAGCAGATGGTGTCGTGTTTACATTGCTGGACTCCTATGTAGCTGACCACAGTTCATTTCCCAACCTGGCAGCTTGAAACTCATGCCAGGCACATGTGAGTGCATGCATGCCCAGAGTCCTGAGAGGAGAATGAAAGAGAAGGGGTTATGGTGTGGCCATTCCCCCTGGGAGTAGTGATTTCTCACTTTCTGTCTCTCTGTCTCTCTGACAAGTACCTGCAACCCTATAGGAAAAATCTCTTTAAAAAATTTTAAGAAGTGTTGTAATATCTACTTCTGCCTACAGTATATAACTGAGGAATAAATGTACTGGGAAAGATCAATGAAATATTGTAAGACAGAAACTATTGCAAAATTTAATTCTAATTATGTTGCCCTAGTATAGCTCAAAATGGTAAATTTAAGTCATAACAATAAAAGTAAAATGTTCCATTAAAAATTATCTTTCCATTAAATAATCATTGTCTTATACTTGAGAAAAAATAATATTGGGATTCAAATTTGTTTACAGAAATGATACTGGAGTATTTGTGTCAGACATTGTCAAAGGCGGAATTGCAGATACTGATGGAAGGCTGATGCAGGGAGACCAGATATTAATGGTGAACGGAGAAGATGTCCGTAATGCCACCCAGGAAGCTGTTGCTGCTTTGCTAAAGGTAGAAATCAAATGAATAAAAAAAAAAAATTGTTTGATAGTGTGGAAGAAGGAAGAGAATTTAACATTAGGTTATGATAGTCAAATTAGTACTGACTTCTCTGTAAAGTGTCATCTCAAGTGAAACATATTTACCAATGGGATACCATATTTCAGTGACAAATTTCTAAATAATAAATTTATCATTACCTGTTTATTATGTATTTATTTAATGGTAGTAAGAATTATAAACTGAATATCTGTAATGTTAGTAAATATTTTATCTTTAAGGTAAGTATTGTGAGGATCTTCCCTTGAAAGAAAAACATGTTTTGATCACAAAGGATAAACAAAGAGTCTCAACCTCTAGTCCCCCATATTTATATTTATTCTTATGACCTCTTGCTTAAGTGAAGACTTTTATCCACGCTTTTAGAAAAGTGTCTTGGCATCGCTTCTTGGCCTTTTGGCTAAGATCAAGTGTAGTATTTGTTCTTATCAGTTTAATGTCTGATATGTCCTTTATCTGAGGACAATATAGTAAATGGATTTTTGGAAATCAGAAACGGGATAGGAGATTGCTCTGTCCATTCCATGCATTGACCTGGTATTGCAGTACCTCCAGGAATGGTGTCCGGGGTAGGGAGAACCTGATTGTCATCAAAAGCAGAACTTAATTCTCAACTTCTGTTTTCATTCATTTTCACAGAGTGTTTTGAAGGGAGACAGCACTGTTCAGATAGTGTACTTTCAATTAAAACTATTGTACTTGAAAAATTAAAAGAAAGAAAACAAAAGAGAAAGAAAGAAAAGTAACTTGGCAGAACTGTTAAATGGTGGGAGAGCGTGGGAGGCAAGACGAGCATCAGTGGCACCTCTGGAGAGCATACTTTCAGGCCTTTCCTGTCTCCACCACTTTCTCAGCCCTTTCTGGGTATGCCAGACTGGATGACTGTGTATTTCCCGAGAGATGAATAATGTGGCAGAAATTTACCCTTTAGTGAAGGAATGTTTGATCCAAATCCCATTCTGACTCAAAATTGTTGTTCTGCTTGATGTTGACACTTACAGTGAGAGTTGGATGGGTCGTCCTGCTGTAGTGAAGGTAACGCAGTGCAGTTTCACCACGCAGTTCTTCACCAGGAATTATTCCAATAGCTATAAGGCTCCCATCCCTAGGTATCATTTCAAAGTTAAGTACATTTTACATTATGAAGTACATTTCTTCCAAAGAAAAATCTCCATGAAAGATCATTTTCTGACTGGAAAAGCAGAGTAAGTTCATCTTAGAAATACATTGTAAAGCATAGATTAGTAACTTAAAAACTGGGACTATAGGCATCTTTGCTTATCAGGGACTATTCCAGTTTGTGGAGAAAATTTGCTTTCCTAGAAATAAATAAGGCAGTGCTTATCTCATTTTTTTTTTCAATGTAACATGTGCTTGAGAATCTGAAGAAGTAAAATTTGACAGTGACTGGAAAACCATTGTCATCAGCACCCAGTGTCAGTGTGTTGACATGAGCCTGCAGGACAGTGCTGAGCAGCAGCAGTGCTGGCAGGGTGGGAACCTCTCCATGTCAGGGTGATGGAAGCTCTTAAACTCTTCTGTGGTTTGGACAGGATCTGGTATATGAGCGTGTGCATACATTTAGTTTTTAATGAAGCACTCATTAAAACATATCTTATTAGAATTATCAGTCCTCAAGACATAAAGTAATTAAAGTTCTTTAAGGAAGAATAGCTTCCTTTGGAGATTAATTTAAAACAAGTGTTTAACTCTGTAAGATTGATGCATTTTAGAGTGAAGGAAGCATCCATAACACAATATAAATAATTTTAAAATAAGCAAAACCAGTTATTTAAAACACCAAATTGACAGTATATAACGAGAACCTTAAATATCTGTATAATTACATATGTTGCTACTGCTGTTTGTTTTTTTTTTACTTAGTAAATCTTCGTTTAAAAATCTTGCATAAATAATGTTCAATACACACAAAAAATTCATGCACATCAAGTTCATTGAAATGTCATTTATAGTAATAAAATTGGAAGCAATGTGGTTGACAAAAACCATATCAACCAAGATGCATGACAAACATGCATTTGTTTAAAGTGTTCTTGACAAGGCCAACAGGTAGCATGGTGATTAAGGTGTTTGACTCCCACGTAGCCAATCGCAGGTTGAATCCCAGACCTGACAGCTTGCTTTCCAACTTTTCTTCTCTCTCTGTCTCTGGTCAAATTGAAAAATAACAATAATAATACTAAATAAAATCAAAATAAGCAAGTCTTTAAAAAAAGTGTTCCTCTTAACATGAAAAATGAGTCATCAGAAGAGAATATAAGGCAATGTAGCTACAACTACATAAAATAAAATCTTACAAGTTTTTAATAATTATTATGTGACTTTTTGGAACTAAGGAGTCTTTTTTCCCTACTTTTTTTCACCTTATTTTAAAATTTTTACTTAATGAATATGAATTGCTTTTTTTTTCTATCGAGAGGTTTTTGCTATAGAGCACATGCGCTCGCCAGACAGACAGAGACAGAGAGACAGAAAGCAAGAAATTACCCCCCCACCCCCAGGAGAGATGGCTATGCCACAATCCCTACTTCTCCATTCTCCTCTTGGGATCTTGGGCACGCATGCACGCATGCCAAGCATGTGTTTAAGCCTGGGCCTGGGACTTGAACTGTGGTCAACTACATAGGAGTCCAGCGACCTAGCCATTATGCCATATGCTGGTCCCATGAATTGCTTTTATAAAAAATTACGTTAAAATTTTTTATAATAATCAAAACCTTTGAAGCTTGATGTGTTATAGGTAGATAAATGAATTATAACATTATGCAGTCAATAGTTACTATATGGATCTGTTAACCTCAGGAGTTATGTAAGCTGGAAATATAAATAGCTTCAAGAACAGTAAAATTGTGGTCCAAAAAAAATCACCCAAACCAACCAAAATACCCCAAAAAAATCAACTTATGAATATTACAAGATGAGTTTTCCTAAGTTTGATTCATGATTCACACACTTATGAGTGACATATCCCTTGGTAACCCCATCAATAGCAGCACAATAATATCAATGCCCGATGCCCTAGATGCTGTCCCAAACATTGCACATGGATTATTACTTATCATAACAAGCTTAAATGCTTTACAGTTTTAAAATGCACAAAAAATATACTTATTAAAGTTAGACATCTGTTGTGGTATTGTATAATAGGTACACTCAAGTATAAGGTTGTAATAGAGAGTTTACCTAATTATCTAAGTGCCTTTTCTGTTGAGGGCAAAACAAGTTTTTGTGGTGGTGGTGGTTTTATTGTTTTTGAATTGTTGTTAAACCTCGATTTATTCAGTTCTTTTGTACTATCAACATCAGTGTGGTTCATGAGATAATTGCTCAATTCTCAATTTTTTTGCCTTAGTTAAAATAGTTTCTAAGTAAATCCTGAGATTCTAAGACAGGCTGTTGTCATTATTTTTATTAGTTTTAATTTTAATTTTTTAAAAAAATTTGTGAGAGGGCACGTGTGCTCACCAGAGAGGGAGAAGGAAAGCCAGAAAACACTCCCATAGGCTATGGTCATATTGCAATCCCTTTTCTTCCCTATCTCCCTCTTCTTAGGATTGATCACACATGCACATACTTCCAGCATGTTTCTCAAGCTCTGGACCTGGGATTCAAACCATGCAGTTGGGATCCAGTCACCCTAATCACCACACTACTGTCTGGCCCCAGTTTTTGTTTTAAAGCTGCCTTTCACTAAAGATTGGTGGCATCTTTGCCAATGGGAATCTCAAAAGGAATTTCAAAAACTTAGTGTGAAGAATGAAATATATTTCTAAAGATAATTACAACTTTTTATTAAAACATTTCCTTAAAACAACCATTCTTCAGTGTTCCCTAGGCACGGTAACCTTGGAAGTTGGAAGAATCAAAGCTGGTCCATTCCATTCAGAGAGGAGACCTTCTCAAAGCAGCCAGGTGGGTAGCTTTGAATGTCTCCACATGAGGCAATCTACATGGCAGAGGAACTTGTAGGTGGCCAGCCTATGGGTCTGCCCAGGATCATGTAGGCTCTGGCAGCACGCAAGTGACTGAGCTGTAGAATTTGACCTGAGGAAGAACATGGTATGAGAGTGGGCAAGTGAGCTAGGTATAGGAGCTCTTGGGTAGTTTGTACATCATTCTAAGGAAACTCAGTTCAAGCAGTCTTCTTTTCTGATGTGATTTTTTTCTGTACTCTCCAAAGTTAACCAACTAATAAAGGTAAAGCCTAAAAAGAGAACATTTTGAAGGTGTTTTATAACATGCAACAACCAGTATTCACCTAAAAATTCCATATAGGTTAAATGCAGATGCTCTCCACCATGTATAAAAGTGTGATTTTAAATTTTAAATATTAAATAGCTCACTACTCTCAGTCAGCCATTCTCATTCTCATCTTTCAAGGACAGAAGCCCACTTACATCACTCCATCCTTTTCTTTTAATTTCTTTTTTTGAGGGGGGTGGGGGAAGAGGTATTTTTGCTATAGGGCACATGCACTCGCCAGACAGACAGAGACAGAGAGACAGAAAACAAGAAATCAACCCCCAGGGGGGATGACCCCACCACAATCCCTTCTCCATTCTCCTCTTGGGATCTTGGGCACACACACACACGTGCCCGGCGTGAGTTTAAGCCACCAGGTCCAGGACTCAAACCGTGGTCGACTACATGGGAGTCCAGTGACATAGCCATTACACTAACTGCTGGTCCCCTTTTCTTTAATTTCTGCCATTAATTTCTTGTTGACTGACCCCAAGTATACCATTTTAGTGTAAGTCCTAGTCTTTGTACACAATCACTTTTTAAAATTTAGTAAGGATGGAAATAAATACATAAATTTAGAGAGGATTAGCTTGAATGAGAGCCCCACTAAAATTTTAGGTAGGTTGAAATTCATTTCATCTATCTATTTTAGCTTCACTTTCTTTATGTCACCAGGCAGTCTTCCTTTAAATAAATAAATAACTAGAAACTGTTTAAGTTGCCCTTCAAAGTATCAAATGCCACTGTAACATAACAGGTGTTTCTCTCTCCATGCACTGAAATAATTGAAATCTGAAGCAAGTAGTTGTTAGCAGTGAGCGGGTATTACTCCTTCCGAAACTTTCTAAAATAGCTGTCACATGTTTGTAGGTGAGCGAAGGCAGCCTGTCGTCTTTCACGTTCCCACTCTCTGGATCCACTACATCTGAGTCACTGGAAAGTAGTTCAAAGAAGAATGCACGTAAGATCAGTTTAATATATTAAGTATGCTTCAGTGGTCTGAATTTCACTTCTCAAAACGGACTCTTCTTATTTATCTTTGAGGTCTTTTCTCAAAAGTACCCTTTATCTTAACATAGGTACGGAAGGGTGAGTTGGAAGAAATCTGAACAACATGAAGCTGTGCCTGTGCAGCTTCTCCCTTTTGACGTTTACCCGACAAGATACAGTAAATGTTGTAATCGGGATTTTGTCATCTTTATCTTACTAAGCAGATTGGTGTATTTGATTTTATTTCCTTTCTCTGTTTAATGTAACAGCAATAAATCAGAAGATGCCATTAAGTGAAGCCTTCTTTTTTCATGAAGATGGCAAAAATTATGAGAAAATTCGTATGATCCTCCTGTGTTTTAATTACATGAAATCATGATGCAGAGGGGTTTTTTGGCTTGGTGTACTGGTTGAGTGTTGCTCAAATTGAAGAAACTAACCATATGGCAGTCTCTGTTTGCAACGTGACTAATATTCTAGAAATTTAGGCACTGAGTCCATGGATTTTTTTTCAATGCATCCATGACTTTATTCCTCTCAGCTGTGCACATGTGTTGTTCTATCCAAAGCACATTCTGTCCTTGACTGAGTCAGAGTGGATTGTGCAGTTATATAATCATTGCTTCAAATGAGAAGGAAGAAGTGGGGTGATATGTGCCTATTTTCAACTGGACTAACAGAATTCCTACATGAGACAAATTTAACTGTGCGCATTAGTAATTTTGAAAACCTCCTCTAAAAAAGGACAACACAAACAGACAAAAACACTAGTGCAATCTATTTTGTCCCTTCTGGCTCCATGAATTCACTGAAAGTTCACTAGTCGTTTAATGAATCTAAAAAGTGCTGTAATGACCATATATTGTATTCTTTGCCTTTACAGTGGCATCTGAAATACAAGGATTAAGAACAGTTGAAATAAAAAAGGTAATTGGGGGAAGAAAACAACACAAACTCTGGTGCCTTTAGAGGCATCTTCATATGTGTTTTTCTGTTAACTTACTGTTTTATAGTGCCCAGCTAAAAAATATAAATCTTATGCACTGAAAACAGCAGTGCCGTTTTGCTGAATTTCCTAGTCATAGTCCCTCATTTTATACCTATTATTTGTGTAATCTGTACTGCCAAAAATGATATCCACCTGACCCGACACAAAATAGCACTCTCTCTCTTCACACTGATAAGTAAGCCTTTCTGGCAATGTTTACCGTTAGGTCCTCTGAAACAAGTTCACCTGACAGCCGTGCATGGAAGAGAAAATAAAAGCAGCTATGATTTCCTGAGCCTTGACTATATGTTGACTATACAGACTTCTGCCATCACCATGTCATTTAATCTTCACTGTGCCCTCTGTGAGAGGTACTGCTACCTCTGTATTGTAAATGAAGGATCTAGTGTTTTATTGAGGGGAATGAACATGGTCCAGGTTCCAGCGTTTCTAAGTGTGAGTTGCTGACTTTGAAAACAGGACCCTGATCCTAAAAACTGTGGTCCTTTCACTTGAGTTTACCCGCTTTTGATCAGTCCTACAACATAATTTTCATTTAGCAAGGATTTCTTTGACTTCTTAAACAGATGCTCATTTTCTGAAACCCCTTTGGGTGAAGACCTCTGCCAAGTAATATAATGCAGTGTCCTTGAGTATAATTTTCCACCTTCAAACATAGAAGTAATTTATGATTTTCTATGTAACATTGTGCCCAAAAATAAACAAAAGGTCAACTAAATATCCTTGAGGGCTGGCCCCATAGCGCAGTGTTTGGGTACTGTGTGCAGGGAGCCATATCCTGTAAGGTCAACTATGGTTGGAATTATGGCCTGGCTGTGGTGGCTTTATTAACATGACAGGTGTGTGTGTGTGTGTGTGTGTGTGTGTTTCCAAATCATAATGGGAAGGAGAGGAGATATGGAGGAAGAAAGTTTGTGGTGTGACCATGCCCCCATGCCCCATTGGGTGTTCTCTTTCTCTCTTTCTGGAAAGCACATGTTCCCTCTGGAGGAAAAAAAAAAATTTTTTTTTTTTTTGTAGAGTAGTTTTTGATATCAGGCATATGAGCTCACCAGAGGGACAGAAAGAAAGAAATCACCCCCCAGGGGGGATGGTCACGCCACAATCCTTTCTCCTCTGTTCTCCTCTCAGGATTTTGGGCATGCACACACACACACACACACACATACACACACACACACAGTGAGTTTTAAGCCACTGGATCTGGGACTTGAACCGCAGTAGACTATGTGGGAGTCCAGCAATGTAGCCATTATACCATCTACTGATCCCTGGGGAAAAAAAAATTGTTTTAAACAAATCACTTTGAGGGATCAGCAGGTGGCATAGAGTTTAAGGCACTGGACTGCCACATGGCCTACCACAATCCAAAGTCACAGACCCACTGGCTTCAAAATCACACAGAGCAAGTATGTGTGCATGCCCAAAACTCCAAGAGCAAAATGGAAGAGAAGGGATTGTGGCATGCCCATCTCCACCGGAGGGTGATTTCTCACTTTCCCTTTCTCTGTCTTTGTGTCTCTCTCTTTCTGGTGAACACATGTGCTCTATAGCAAAAACTTAAACAATAATACTATTCACTGTGAAAGATCGGCCTTGGCACAGTGATAATGCAGCACCTTGCAATTTTGGACCCACCTGAAAAGGTCTCAGGTTCTCATCTCTTGTTGGCCAAGTCTAGGTGTGGATTATAGCATGGAGACTCTGGTAGAGATGCCTGTCTTTTTCTCTCTTACTCTCTGTCTCTCATGAAGGAAGTAAACGAATAAACTTTTTAAAAATCATTTGACCAAAATAATATTATCTATCCCATGGCAGGGACCTACTGACTCATTGGGAATCAGCATTGCTGGAGGAGTGGGCAGCCCACTTGGTGACGTCCCTATATTCATTGCAATGATGCATCCAAATGGTGTTGCAGCTCAGACCCAGAAACTCAGAGTAAGTTTTACATATAACTATAGTTGCCCTAGCAAATCCAACAAATGTTTTTTCACAGACCCTTTGAATCTGGCCACCTCTTGCAAGGCTGTTTTAAATGTCTAGTTCAACTGATTTAGGTGGTTTTTAAAAGGGCTTGCTTTGTGTAAAAGACAAATAATATGAAAATGGTACTGCTAGGGAACCAGCAGTTATCGTAATGGCTATGTCGCTGGACTCCCACGTAGTCGACCGTGGTTCGTGTCCCGGACCCGGTGGCTTAAAACTCACGCCGGGCGCGTGTGCGTGCGTGCCCAAGATCCCGAGAGGAGAATGGAGGAGAGGAGATTGCGGCGTGGCCATCCCCTCTAGGGGGTGATTTCTCTCTTTCTGTCTGTCTGGCGAGCGCACGCACCCTACAGTGAAAATCTCTCAAAAAAAAAAAAATGGTACTGCTAAATGCAAATTTGGAAGTCAATGAAATGGGACCATTTATAGTTACTTCTTTTTTTTTTTTGGATAGGTTTTTGCTATAGGGCACATGCGCTCGCCAGACAGACAGAAAGAGAGAAATCACCCCCTAGAGGGGATGGCCACGCCGCAATCTCCTCTCCTCCATTCTCCTCTCGGGATCCTGGGCACGCACGCACACGTGCCCGGCGTGAGTTTAAGCCACCGGGTCCGGGACTCGAACCGCAGTCAACTACGTGGGAGTCCAGCGACATAGCCGTTACGCTAACTGCTGGTCCCTATAGTTACTTCTTTATATATTTATTATATATCTATGTGTGTGTGTGTGTGTTTTATATATATATATTACGTATTTGAAACTGTGAAACAAGTTAAAAGAAAAATTATTTTCAGAACACTAATATGAAGTGAAACTTCTTCCTCATATGTGTTATTGGTTTAAATGCCAATTAAATTTTATTAAATTGAAAAGCATCATTTATTTGCATTTTATTATAAACTTTGCTGAAGTTTAATAGAAAGATGATTTATAATGTAAAATTATATAAAACTTACTTCAAAGTTGAGGGATTACCAAATGTAGAGCACTGTGGTGAAACGCGTGGTAACTTCCCAGCTCTAAATCATGTGACTATCCACTAAAGCAGCTCATTCTCTCAAAAGTACAATCTTTATGTTCTCATGCCTCAGACATTGTCTTAGATCATAACGACATCTTACTAGACTGTCAGGAAAGACACATATTTTTCTATGCAAAAATGTGTCATGACTTTCCCGATGACCAAATAGTATAAAAAGTCTCTAGATTGGGAACGGTTCAGCCTCCCGTGGTATCAAAATTTATAGCTAATGCTTGAAAACTGATGTTACATATAGCAGCGGGGTCAGTCCAGTGAGGACAGATAGTGAATATTTTAGATGTTAGGGGACATAGGAGTCTCTTGCAACTATTCAGCACAGCAGCCAAATAAGCATGGCTATCTTCCAACCAAACTTTATTAACCAAAGCAGGTAATGAGCCAGATTTTGGCCTGGGCCTGTGTTTGCCAATTCCTGATTCAGAGTCCCATCTAATGATTAGAATAATAATGTCCAAAGAAATTCCAGTTTCTGAATGATACTGATATTTTATTCTTTTAATAGGAACTAGTGTCTAACCCAGGAGAAATGAAAAGAAGGGAAGAGTGATTTTCTGCCTCTCCCTCTTCCTCCTCTGGAGACACAGCTTGTGTGTGTGTGTGTGTGTGTGTGTGTGTGTGTGTGTGTGTGTGTGGTTGCTGCTTTATCCATACTTTCTTGGTTATATTATAGTGTGGAAGGTAGAGAAGGAAATGACTACTCAGGTCTCACAGTCCCACTCTCCATGGCTGCTTTAGCAGATGGCTATTGCTCTCTCCCTTGCAGGTCGGGGATAGGATTGTCACTATCTGTGGCACATCCACCGAGGGCATGACTCACACCCAAGCAGTTAACTTATTGAAAAATGCCTCTGGCTCCATTGAAATGCAGGTAAGATGTTTATCCCAAGTACTATTCCGAATGTATTAACTGGGAAGCTTGGGGACACATGAGGTTTCATGTTAAAGCAGTAAAAACAATTAAATCATTTGCTAGTATTTTATTTCATCGTTTTCTTAAATATATATGATTGAATTAAAAGGTCCAAGAAAGTGTATATGAAGCACTTTCCATAACATTATACCCTGGTACCTTTATTGTCTCATCCTTTATGTCTAAGGGGGAAAATAATACAGGGCCTTAGGAGGAAATGATTAATTGCTCCAATTTTTAGTAGTGAGGGTGACTTATATTGGAAAGATCTTTAAACAATAAATACATATGAGACTTTATTTTAAAGCATCAAAGAACTGTGTAGAATTGAATTCGTAGGATAGTTTTACTGTCAGAATAGTTAAGAGGCCTGTGGACCTTGTGAAATTTCTTTTTCTTTGATTCTATTTTATGTTAGCAGGAATTATTAAATGGACGATGAAATACATGTTTTAATCCAAGTGTTCCTTTTAAAGAAAAATGCCTGATGTCTCCTTAGCTACACAAACGTGTGTCATTTCTCTTTATACTTTGCCTGAATGCAGGTGGTTGCTGGAGGAGATGTGAGTGTGGTCACAAGAGCAGGAACCGGCCGGTTCTGGTCTTTCCTTTACTGGACTGACATCAAGCAGTATATTTCAGGATGATTTAGGGTGAGCTCACACATTACAGTTGGTATGTCACTTGTCACTTATGGATTATATCTCTTGACAGTCACATTCTCTAGCCCATATTCCTAGCACTCATGCAGAGGTAAAATAATAGATGAGGTATGAAATTTAAAAAAAAAAAAAGAAGTGCTTCTAAACTTAAATAATTACGGCACGGGTCTGCTAGCACGGTAGATGTGCATGCCAATACCCTTCCCACATTTTCAGCTCTGATTTTATCGTGGGTGAATGTTTTAGTTTTGATGTCACCACCCTATGTGACCTGGAAGAAGTTAAATCTCTCCTTTCAAAATTTCCTGCTTTCCCTGTGCATTTACAATATCATCTTTTGATGAACAAAATGTACGGCATTCTGTAACAACACTTGAGTACAAAAGTATTGGAAATCAGAGGACAAGAGAGGGGCACATTTGAATTTTTAAGAAATCTGATATAGTTTTTACATTGCTTGTAATTGATTTTTCTCTCTGAGCTTGGAAGTACAGATTTTTATGACTTATCCCAATATAGCCTGAACTTTAGCCTCCTCACTTTAAATAAGCTGGAAAAGAATGAATTTGTCTGAGCAATTTGAACATGCCATGAATATGTTAGTGTAAGGGAACTGTAAATGAGTAATAGAATTAGGGTGTGAAGTAGGATTTCATTAGATTATGTAAATTTAAAATACTAAGCACAGCATGCACTGACATTTAAGCATCCCCAAAATACCCACAATGTACTCGCTATCTGTAACACAGAGAATTATGCTAGTCCTACGTGGATGTCAGATAATCCATAATTTACAGAATTATATATATACATGTGTATATATATATTTTTTTTCCTCAATCCCAAACCTCTTTTTCTTCCCCTTTGCTGTAGACCTCCTCAGTGTAAGTCGATTACACTAGACCGAGGACCAGATGGCTTAGGCTTCAGTATAGTAGGAGGATATGGCAGCCCTCATGGAGACCTACCCATTTACGTTAAAACAGTGTTTGCAAAGGTAAGCTTGCACATTTTTACCACCCTCTTCCCCCCTAAACATTCATTAATAGTGGTCAGCAGCTGGCTTATTAGTTTATGGCCTGAGGTAATGCCAAATGGTTAACAGTTGATCATTTTCTTTCAAAACTCCCTATAGGAACAGTTCATTAAATGTGTTTGTCCAATTTGAGGTTTGCTTACATTTAAGGAAAAATAGGTTTAAATTGAAATTGCATGGAAACTTTAGACAATATACATAAAAATATTAATGAACATTAGTTAGTAGAACTTTTTTTTCACCTTTGAAAACAAGTTATACATGATTGTTGAAAATACACTTGAGATATATATGCTGTAGAGGACTGGCATTCCTTTTCCTGTGTCTTTTTTTGTTATTGTGAAATATAAAATAAGTATAGAAAAGTACATAAAATAACACATGCAAATTAACAAACAGAGCATTTATTTTACAAGTACTAAAAAATTTGAAGTTACCCAGCAGTTCTCTTTTCTAAACTAAATCAGCTATTTGTAATCAGGAAATTCGAT